TTTGGAGTTGTTTGTTTTAATTGACATTATTTTCCAATACAATGGTTTCCACCTACTTTTGCTGGGCTTTTGGAGCATTTTTGGCTGACCAAGGCATCAAATGGTGGAGAGGGACAAGGTCTGAATAAGCATCTCTTACACAATGCATTATTTTAATGAATGCCCATGCTCCACTCAATTAAACTAACGCTAACGAACATTGGCTTTCCATAAACTTTTTCCACAGTAACTTAAGCTTAATTAACCTCCATTTGCCACTTAATCACGTGCAACACTTGGGCCTTAAGAGATTTGGACTGAAATTTAAGCATAGGGCTTGGAATGCACTCGACCTTGGGCTGGCGCACGGCAACGGCTGGGCTGGGCGCGACCGAATTTTAGCCTATTTCTTGTGATCAAATGACTTAGAAAAATAAATCAATGATATACTAAGGCTTTGACAAGTCTTGGGTAAGGCCATGGCATTGACTCGAACTATGGGTGCGCGACCAAGACACGCACACGGCTATGGTGCGGCTTGGGGTCTAAGGTTTGAACTAGGGACATCAAAAACACTTAGAAAATATTCTAAGTATTATACTACTAAAGTTTGGCTATGAATAAGACTTGAGAACTAGAATTCGACACGAACAAACTATTTCGAATAAAATACCCGATACTTAAAATGAACTTAATATACATATATCAACACTTAACATATGACTTAAATAAATCTCGAGTTTCTCTTAAAAATACGAATTTCACTTTAAAGTCGAGCAGTGAAATCGTCTTAATATTATAATAATGATCGGGGCGTTACAACCTATCCTCCTTAAAATATTTCCGTCCTCGGAAATACAAAACTAGGGTACTAGGTCAGAACTCATACTACGAACAACATACAAACGTACGAGATGATTGTACGTAAGTTAAGACTGAATATCTCAAGACTGAAAATCTAATTATTTGGTAAGCATACTGATCTTGAAATTTGTAAGCTACAACATCCGGTCTTGACCGGATATCATGTGCATCCTCCGGGTGGCCTTGGCCGCCCCAGAAACTGGGGAGGGCTTAGGCCTCTCTTTTGCAAGTGGCTCTTGACTCGCCTTGGCGACTTCGACCACTTTGACGATTTCTATAACTCTGTTTCTTAGTCGTCGAACCTTTCGGTTCATGACTGCTTCTGACTGCTCATCATATGCCCGGCTCGGCCCGACATTCTCAATCGTCAAAGTCTCCTGTGAGACCCGAGTCGCGTGCAACTTCTCATCATCAAAACGTGAAAACATTATGTATACCCAAGAGTTCTGGGGGTAAGGCCAGACGGTAGACTGTTAGGCCAACTTGCTCGGTGATATCCAACAGCTCTAAGGAACGGGCTGCGACTTCCCTTGTTTTCTTGAAACGCACAGCGCCCTATATCAGCGTGACTTTCCCGAATACTATATCTTCTTCTGATATGGTTTGGCTGCAAAACGACTTGCAATGAATCGGTGCGTAATGACGCAACACTTGGTACGTGGCACCATCTTGTAATGTACTAGAGGCGTTGGTGTAGTTTGCAACCGCGCACTTGCCAATGATGGAAGCTTTGTTGTACTGTGATACTGTGCTAACTCTACAGGAAGCTTTGCTGCCTTTAAATCTTTGGGGAAACACAACTGCCCTCTCGAAATCATGAGTCGGGTGTTTCATCTTGTGCAGCTTTAACTGACAGACAGCCTAAGCCACAACTCTGCCTTCGAGGCATCACTATGAATTGCGAAACTTTGTCTGAGTTCAGAAACAGTCAGAACGAGCATCGCCATAAGCCTTGCTTTGAGCTTCTGAAAGCTCGTATCACAACGGCTGCACTACTCAGACTCTACCGATTTCGTCGTCATTTGTGACAAGTACCGGGCAATCTTAGAAATACCCCCAGTTGATTTGTCTATAATAGCCAGCTAATCCGAGAAAACTCTGAACCTCGGGGGCATTTCTCGGTGTCGACCAGTTCCGGACTGCCTCAATCTTGCTTGGGTCTACCTCAATTCCTTTGGATGTGACGATGTGGCCTAGAAAAGCCACTCGATGGAGCCAAAATTCGTACTTTGAGAACATGGCATACCATTTCTCAAGTCGAAGTGTCTCCAATACTGTCCTCAAGTGCTCCTTGTGCTGCTCTGGACTGCAGGAATAGACCAAAATGTCGTCGATGAAGACGATGACAAACTGGTCTAGGAATGGATGGAAGACACATTTCATGAGGTACGTGAATACCGCAGGCGTATTGCTTAAGCCAAACGGCATCACCATAAACTCATAGTGACCGTATCTCGTTCTGAATATTGTTTTGGCCACATCGGCCTCTCTGATCTTCAACTGATGGTAACTAGAGCGAAAATCTATCTTGGAAAATGAGTTGGCTCCCCTCAGCTGATCGAATAAATCCTCAATTCTAGGAAGCGGATATTTGTTCTTTACCGTCAACCGGTTCAGATCCCGGTAGTCGATGCACATACGCATAGACCCATCCTTCTTCTTGACAAGGAGGACAGGTGCTCCCCAAAGTGAAACGCTCAGTCGGATGAAACCGAGACTCAACAGCTCCTGAATCTTAGCCTTCAACTCCTGAAGCACTTTCGGCGCCATGCGATACGGTGCTTTCGACACGGGTCCCGCTCCGGGGACTAAGTCGATTGTGAACTCCACCTGGCGGTTAGGTGGTCCTCCCGGAAGCTGTTCGGGGAAGATGTCCTGAAATCATGCGCTATGGGCATGTTTAAAAAAATAGAATGCTTCATTCCCCTCGGTGTTTATGAGGTGACGAGCAAAAACGCTCTCATTAGCAAATTTGTGCCCGTATTCCTCTACCAAGTGGCCTTATGCTGAAAGGCACTGGACTCTTTCTACTTCTTCCCGCGAATGAGTCTTGGTTAAAACTTGGCTTTCAAAATCTGTTGGTGCTGGTCCCATGTCGTCTGATCATACTTATCTTTTGTCCTCATACACTTGTAGTCGCTACGCCAATCCTAGGAATTGGAACACGACTACTGTTGGTTCTCGTCTTGACAGGTGGTTTCGAAGTTTTTGTGGGACAACACTCTGGATAGCCACTAATTATTTGACTAGCACAGTATAACCATTAAGAAATAACTACACAAGTCTTAGCGGATTTGTTATTGAATTGTTGAAAACACCTAGCTTGGCTAGAGTTCCGGTTAACTAGCTCTTGGTGCTTCTGGTTGTAACTGAGTACTTCTGACCTCCTAAAATAGGTCAATTTGTACTTAGCGCGCGACTTAATCGATTTAAGAAATCGAATATCTTGATGGCTAGTTCTTTCTCATATGCTCCTCGTAGATCCAGAAAAGAACTCATTTCCTTCCTTTGGCTAACTGTCGATCTTCTGAATAGAATTCAATTGTGAGACCCAAGTCACTGCAGTACGCGCGGGAAACTTTTGAATAACATACATGTACAAATGAGAATAACTAGCAATTTCGGTAATTACCCCTCGCGAATACCTACCCGATGACGCGGTACGTCGCTCGCGGCACGTTGCAATGCGGCACACCTGCTCCTCATCTCGTGAGTGCGGCACGCCTGCATGCAGCACCAGCGAACGTTGCACCTGCGACGTCAGTGTAGTTTGTACTCACATTTTTTTTTTTGTATCTGTATCTTTATGGTAGTAACCTCACCGTCCTATAATGCTATCTCTCTGTAATCTCCCAACGTACTGTGACTCAGACATAACTTCTTTCCCTACCGCGATGTACATCCTCGTATGGAAGGCTTCGATTTGTCACCACGACATTGTCTGTTGTTGTTGAAAAGTCTTCCACATCATGCGCAAAAAATGTGTCATAAATCGACACACTAGATATGGTAATACTCACCTTCCTTGAGGCTATACTAACCTCAAGAAAAATCTACTGAAAAATAATCTTTCCTGCGATTTCTCGAATTTTCTGAATTCGAGAATCGAGACTGGATATACTTGCGAGGAATAACTATAAGTCTTGTCTTATTAAACCCGACCCGATAATCGACCCGGGCAGGTCTTCGGGTCGCCGGGTCACCGGTTCAACCGCCATGCCACCGGGTCAATTGTTGAACTGGATAAATAATTTTAAAATTTATAAACTTATATATAGAGTATTTTGTGATATATAAATATACATAAAAATAACAAATTTAAATATTTTGTATGTAAAATTTGTAGATTAAAGTGGTAATAATATGTATATATTTACCATATAAATATATATACATAATTTTATTTTTTAAAAAGAAAAAGAAAATTAAAAAACAAAAAAAAATAAAAAAATACAAATAGACCGGGTCGGTTTGACCCAGCCGGGTTAATGCCCCGGGTCGACCGGGTCAAGGCTGGGTCGACCGGGTTTTGACCGGGTTTGACCGAGTCCGTTGTTGCCCGGTCCAATTAACCCACCCAAACCGGTTCCAGCTCCGGGTCGACCGGGTCCCGGGTCGACCCACCGGGCCGATCCGGGTCACAAAACACTGGCCAGAAGTGTGGGGATTAAATCCAGACCTCCAACTTGTATATAAAAAGACCGTAAATAGGCTCAAAAAACACATTTGACTCTTCAAGATTGTCGTCTATAATAATTCCTCAACGTGTCCCCACCAACCAAGGAATTGTACTACTTGCACTCCATCCGGTTCGGTTCTACTTTGCTCACTATTATTGAGTTACAGCCTAACATATGAAAGAAAAAACTCAAAAAAAAATTGCATTGTCAACTGTGCAGGTTATATGAAAGAAAGGAGCTATTGTATTTACTCCACATAAATTATTAAAATCTGTTTCTGAGGTCTGAATCCAGATGATATCTTACAGTAGAGCTTTAGTACGAGTTTGCTCCATTTTGCGTCTCGTGTCGTCTCATCTCTTGGACGAAAACAGAAAATTAAATAACAAAAACAAATATATATACAGAAGGGCAAAATAAACACAAGCGACGTCAATTGAATAATAGGATCAAAAGCCAAAGTAGAACTGTACGTTATTAGCCACCCTTCAAGCCTTCACAATTTTCTTCGTTAGAGTGACTAGACGAGAGCAAGTCGACCTACATCACATAAGCACTATTTCCTTTGATCAAATCTCAAAAGCTAAAATGCAAAAGTCGAGGGTTAAATGGGGATTCAAAGTGTACCTTAACAATTTCGTATTTGGATATAGGTCGAGCGTAGGCTGCAAGAATCGCCATGTTGAAATGCTGCAAACAATAAGTCCAAAAACGTGACACTTCTATTACAAGGAGAATGACCAACACTACCCTCTGAGGTTGCTGATAAAGTTTAATTATCTTTAAAAAGAAAAAGTATATGTATGATTTGCTCACCATATGCAATTAAACGATATCCTTATGTTACTGTTTTCGTATTTGTAACTATATACTGCCTCAGCTTACAGCCGAATTTACGTTAAGTGTTACACAGATAATCTTTGAACTTACTCTAAAAGGATCGCTTCTCAGTGACTGCACAAAAATCGAGCTCTGCCATCTCATATCCTGGACAGAGAAACTTCACAACTAGAGGTTGAATGTGATAATAAGATTACCTTATTTTCTTATTACTATTATTACCTCCAAAGAAATGTCGTTCAGTCGCCTCCCGGTTTGGGCACAGCAAACACGAACCGTTGATTCTTCACAGCTCCCACTAATGATATAATCTCTTCCGTTCATGTAATAAGATCGAGTGTAGTTATGAGCACTTCCGGTCGACACTATGCCGAAATCAGTGTGAAGCCTCCCATCCACCGATAGAAGTTGCTTCACCTGGTAAAATTGTGCCATGATGACATAATAATTAGCCTCAAAGTTAACATCGTTATAGAATTACTGAATATATTTATTTATTTTCAGTTGAGGTACCTCATTATCAACAGCCGAGACCAACAGATAAAGATCATCAGGCGAGAACACGACCATTACGTTTCCTCTCGTGCTTCTTGCCGAGAAGCACGGGCCCACGGGCTTCCGCCTCGTATCCCACATCTTCACATCACGATCGAACGACGAGGTCACGAACAAGCTCGGGGAATGGTTCGAAAATTTGGCAACATTTATGGGCTCACGATGCATATCCGAAAGAAGGTGTAACCTTTTCCCACTGCAGATGTCGTAAATGGCGACTTTCTTGGAGTAGCCGCTAGTCAGACAACGGTCATCGGTCGAGTTGACGTGAACTGATGTCAGCTGCTCAAAGTCGTCAAAGGTCACAGCCGGGTCGCGATAGCAGTCCTTCGATTTCAGGGCATCATAGTTGACGTCGTACAATCTCAATGAGCCGTTATCGGAGCCCACTAGGAGCTACAAAAGGCATCGAATATTCTGTACGTTTTATCTCATCTTCGAAAAATGGAAAAAAACAACTCCCTGAAAGAGATGCTTTTAAGCTCGCGTTACAGGTATTGTATTAATTACTCAGCTCAATTGGTGCACAGTTTGCAAAATAAAATGTAATATGATTTGAGTTTGCATTACCTTAGAGGGTTGTCCCTTGAGCCAACAGAGACCGAGAATACTATTCATATCCCCACACGAGGACACACGGGACACAATATTCCCCGTCTCGTGGTTCACCACAATCACTTCCCCATCAAGAGTTCCGATTGCCATCAAGCCAGAATCTGACGGATGGTACTCGAATTGCCTCGGCCTCAGCCTCTTGTCAACGCCCTTTTCCACATTAGTGATGGAATAAAAAAGGGGGCGCCCGATTTTTGCAGCACATAAAGACCTCGTATAGAAGCATTGACTTTTTCGAGTAAAAGACGACCATTTTGGGTTCGACTTCGACTTGTTGCGAATTTTGGTATCCGTGCCCGTCTCGCGGGAATGCAAGACGTTGAGAATGCTCTCCTTTTCGAGGCGCATGTACGGTAAGTACTCGTAGTACTTCGAGAACACATATTTGGACGTGTCCATGGTGCTCGTTTCTTTCGTAGACGGCGAGTTATCTTTCGTAATCATCTTACAGATTCTTGAAGCAAACGGGCGATCGATCAAAAGGACCGGGTTTTTTCAAGTCCCGGTGAAGTACATTCGCGGTAGATTCATCATTTCTTTGAAGTATCAAATTTTTCACTAGAATCTGTTAGAACAACACCCATGAGAATAACAGAACATTACTTGACTAAATTTCAAAGAGACATACAATGCTCTAAGCTAGAGAGGATAAAGCTGGCACCATTCAAATGGCAATAATTTTCTTTCAAATCCTGATTTTCATCATGCTTTTTTTTTTTTTTTTTTT